AGGAAGGGAGGGAGGCGAAAGGGGAGGGAGGGAAAGGGAGGGAGGCGGGAGGGGAGGGAGGGAAAGGGAGGGAGGCGGGAGGGGAGGGAGGGAAAGGGAGGGAGGCGGGAAGGGGCGCGAAAACACAATTGGGAAAGATGGGTTACTGGAGAAACGGAAAAGTTTAGGTGAGGAGTTTGGGGATGGGTTGCGCACACGGCCCGTCCTGCAACACGGCACCTTGAGAATCGCAGGCGCCAGCACATGAGACAGACATACAGACAAGACACATAGTTAAGACGTTCGGTAGGCAGGTAGGCAGGTAGGCAGGTAGGCAGGTAGACACACATGCAGGTTGACATACACTAACAACAGGGACATTGACAGACAGTACATGGCACTCACTTGTCTTTGGACCCTGAAGCGCCACAAGTACATCACCGCTGTGGCTAGGCACTCCTTGTGACGAGCTGCCTGCGGGGAATGAGGGACCGAGCCAGGGGGGAGAAAGGGGGGGAGTAAAGGGGTAAGAGGGAGTGCGGAAAACCCAAATCTAGAGGCCAGCCATCCACCAGGCGGCCGGTAGCCGTCAGCCATCCAGTCCATCAGTCGATGTAGGGGCACAGGTCCGACAGCTGTGTAGGCTGCAGCTGACTGCTAAGCACCCTTCAACCGCACATAACAATAGACACCAAATCCTCACCCCCAGATCCCCGACTCCAGGGAACCCACCTTCTCCTTGAAGGCGCGGTGCAGTGCCGCCACACGAGACTGCGCAGCCTGAGAAGGAAACACATCACACACACTTAACATTTACTATTGACATCATGAACATGGGCACCAATAGCACAGCAGGAAACAACAACAACAACCGCATCACCAGCAGCATCGGCCGCAGGGGAAGAAGGAGAAACAGAAGCAAGGAGAGCTACAGTTCCAAATTGTTACGCTAGCTGCTGCTGCTGCTGCTACAGCTGCTGTTGCTGCTTACAAGTGGGAGGAGGAGCTGCATTTCGCTGATGACCTTGTTGGCTCCACATTAACAGCAGCCGTAGCATGGGCAGCATTTAAGATTGTTATCATCAGCACGAATAACCACTGGCAGGTCTGCCTGTCCGTCTGTCCGTCCCAATGTGGGGTTCCGTCCGTGACTCCAATTCCGTTCCAGAGCGCCATGATCCATCTTTTCCCCACATCCATCCATCCATCCATCCATCCATCCATCCATCCATCCATCCATCCATCCATCCATCCATCCATCCATCCATCCATCCATCCATCCATCCATCCATCCATCCATCCATCCATCCATCCATCCATCCATCCATCCATCCATCCATCCTAAGCCTCCCATAGCGCCCCACCTCCAGGGCCTTGGCCTTGAGCTGCCGTACATTCTCCTCGTAGGCCTCCCGCAGAGCCTCCACTTGCACCGCATGAGCCGCCTTAACCGCTGCCAGCTCAGCGGTGTGCAGCACGCTCAGCGCTGCAACCTCTGCGGCGTGACTGCTCCGGAGTGCAGTCATCTCCGCCTGGTGGTCAGGCGAGGAGGGGATGGGTGCGGAGGCGGCAGCGAGACGAAGGTAAACGCAAGGTTATCGGGCCATTGCGCGACGTGATGTGTGCGTGTGTGGGTGATTGTATGGTTCTCGGCGTGGAGCTGCTTTTAAGATGGGTTGGGTGCTCTTAACTCATATAATTGTCAGGCGTCCTAGCGCGCAAAAAAAAGTCGCGCGGGCATAAAACACATAGAACACGAAAAAGCAGGGTCATCCATTCCCTTGATGTAACTATAACAGCAGCGACGCAAAATGTTTTTGAGGGGCTTTGGATTGCAAACTGGTGCGCAGCAGCAGCGGCAGCAGCGGTAGAAGCAGCAGAAGAAGAATCATAGGCGGGCGTTTTGACGAGGCTTGATGATTGGGCATTTACACACCTCCTTTTCTGTCATGGCGGTTCCGGCAGCCGCTCTTTCGTATCTGACTGGCCTGGGAACCAGCTCCCGAGAGCTTGGGACCGCAGATCCGGCTGATGCTCTATCCATATTGCTTACTGGGTGCGCGATCAGGCCGGAACGCTCGTCAGTTCGGTGCTGGCCGCCAACCAAGGAGAAATCGCGTTTCACCATGTCGCAAATTTGTTTAATTCGATTTAGTAATCTTTTGATAGGTTATGTTAAAAAACGAAGTCGACTATTTTGTAGCAAAAGTAACATCGAAACGTCGTGAGCGCCAGCGTGAGGTATCGTATGTCGCGAACTGTCCGTTTCAGAGAATTTGAACTTAGTTTGAAGATATTTCTACATCTCGCGAAAATTCATTACCAAGAATGAATTTTACATGATGTTGCTGAGGAGGTTCAGCTAGATATGGCAGCTAGCTGGTCAAGCTATCACAGAAACGTTACAAATTCGCGCAACTGCTGTAACTTGTTTACTACAGCCTCTGTCTGACAACAAGTTACAGCTGCTGTCGACCGAGGACTTATCAAATTTTAACAACATGCACACGATATTTGACAAGTACGTCGAAACGAACTTTCAGATATGTCACATGCGAAGCTGTGCTTTGGGGCGACGAAGCTAACAAAATTTCCCTGGCAAGCTGGAAGTCAGTGCTGTGCTAAACTGACATATTTATTTGCGGCCTAACCCAATGAGTGTATCGCATGTGCATGTGCATCGTTGCGTATCAAGATGCCCAGCATCGCACATGCTGATCCACGCCAAACTGGACGCGTAATGCAAAGAATTGCACCTCCCCCTCTGAATTTCCCCCTCTCACTCTCCCCGAAGCGCCAACCATTTGGGTGTGTAGATACGGGATGTGGACCTCTAAGAACCATAAGTCCGCCCGCCTCTGGAAGGATTGACGATAGCCAAGATAGCCTGATCAATAACCCCGGCAGCAGCAACTGAAAAACCTTGCTCGATGATGCCGTTTACTGAGGATGGCTGAGGAGGATACAATCAATCCCTACCTTCCCCGCGAAACCCCCCTGCCGTACCTCCATGCGTTCTCTCTCCTCCTGGATCTCCTGCTCCGAGCGCGCCTGCTCCTTCTGTGCAGCTTCCATGGCCGCCTGGCAGCGGTCGGCCTAAGCGGATACAGTCACACGGGACAAGAACACCGTGAGAAACCCTAAGTATAAGAAGAAGCACGACAAAGACACACGCTTTCCGGACAGTAAAAAATATTTTACTAAACAGGCATTGTGGAGAAAGCTGTACAGATAGAAGTACAGATAGATTCACGAACAACGTGAAAAACGTGGGTCGCAAAAGACGCAAGCAACGTAAGCGGTGCAAAGTGAAAGATACTTCAACTCTCGTTTTCCATCTCCATTCCATGCGCAAGGTGCTTTTTTCTTGACGGCCTGCATAAGGTGGTCAACATATACGTCATTTCTTTGACGACTCCTCCAGCACATGAATATATTCCCCCCAAACCCGGCCCACCCACCCCCCACCATGCCGTCGACCACCCTCCTACCCGTACGCAGGCCGCCGTGGCGCGCCATTGATAAAACACGACGGCTGTCTCGCAGGAGCGACGCAGCGAGGCCATGTAGTTGACGAGGCGGTGCCGCGCCGCCACCAGGAGCACCCTCTGATCGACCAGACGGTTCTGGAGCGCGGCCTTCTCGCTCGCCAGCGTGTCGCGAGCCTTCTCTGCCGCGTGGAGGGCCTCCAGCGGCACCATCTTCTGGACACGTCGAGTGGGCGAGCCGGTGCTGTGAAGGAGGACAATAAAAGATGGTTTTAATGGTTTTAATTAGAGGTTTATTATCATTAGGAAAGAAAGAGTTCTATTAAGGGTTTAATTCGGGGTTCTAATGCAGCAATTTGTGGGGTGATTTATTGGGGATTTTATGGGAATTTTGGAAAAATGAGGAAATTTTGGAGGGTAAAAAACTATTATTAAGTAATAGGGATATACAAGCGACGTAAGTTCTTGTCCCCTTCCGGTCCCCATCACCCCATCACCATGACCCCATCACCATGACCCCATCACCCCATCCCTCCGAGATAGCCAACGTTAATCCCGCTTACCGTATTCCAGTTCCCACGGCCTCCAGTGCCTGTATGTGCATGTCCTTGGTGCGGACCAGGCCGCGCAGCATCAGAACCTCGCCCTGGGGGAAGCGCAGTGGGGCGCGTGTGTGGTGTGTGGTGTGTGTATGTGCGTATGTGTGCGTATGTGTGCGTATGTGTGCGTATGTGTGCGTATGTGTGCGTATGTGTGCGTATGTGTGGTGTGTGTGTGTGTATGCGTGTGTTGTGAGGTTGGGGGAGCATGGGAGCCAGATGAGTTAGGGGGGATGTGGCGTGGGGCTGGGGGGGAGGGAAGGAGGAGAGAGGGCCAAGGGCACGGATGAGTCTGGTCATGCCCGAGTCGGTGCGTATGTATTTATGTACATATGTACATATGTATACATCCGTCCAAATCAAAAGGGTACATCAACCCTCCTTTCCCCGTCACTCCCCCCTCATCCTCCTTCACAGCCCCCCACACACACATACACACACCACGCTCACCTGCAGCGCCACCACATCCACCACGGGCTCCTTGCCGGCAGCCAGGTAGTGCCGTACACACCGTAGCATCTCCTGCATGATTTCGGAGGCGGCGGCAGAGGAGACACACGTTGTGGAGCGGGCGGATAGGAATGCAGTTGTCAACCGCCGCGCCACGTACCCATGGGATGATGCTGCCAACCCCGACTTAAACCGGGGGGGCAAACCCCCGCACGCCGCCCCCTCCACTCACCCTCGCCATTGCCTCATGGACTTTTGCACATGGCGTCTCCCACCCCCCACCCCCCCAAACCCCCCTCTCTCCATTCCCACTCCGCCCCCTGCCCCGCTCCTTCCATGTAATCCCCCCTACCTTTCCACCTACCGCCCACCCCCAATAAAAACGTGCAACATCCCAAGCAACACATACAACACAACAGAAAGTCAACACAAAAAATCACAATCAGAACACGAAGTCACAGAATGACAAATTCAAAACTGCATGGCCTGGGAGATGGCACGGGTGCGCTTTCCGCCCACGGATAGGGGGACTCCAACTTGGTGCATCTGTATGTATGCCCCCCACCCATCCGTCTCCTAGCTGCGGTGCTTGTAGAGCTGTAGCCGCACCCACCACCCTCCCCAGGTTCGCTGCCTTGGGCGGTCCCCTGCCCCCTGCGCGGTTGTCCCCTTCTGTACTGCCTGCATTGCAAGCCCCCTCATCATATGACTTTCCACCCAGACCCCCCCCCCCGCGGCGGCTCAGAGGCCCCATAAAAACACGCACAGGCACACATATTCACAGACAGATATACAGACAGACAGACAGACACGCACACCATCGGCATGCCCCTCATCATCGCGGCTCAGAGGCCCCATTAAAACACGCACAGGCACACGTGTGTTTGTGTGCCTGTGCCTGTGCGTGTACGGGAGGGAGAGAGAGCGTACCTCCACCGCGGGCCCTATGGCCTGTACGTCCGGTATGACCGCCGTAATCCTCTCCACCATGTCGGCGATCCCCCCTGGAGCCGCCGCCAGCACCTCCCTGAACCGGGCTAGCTGGGCGGCGCGGTCCATGAGCAGCTGCTCGGTGGCTAGGACCCGCGTGCGCGTGGCGGGGGCGTCCACCAGCCTGGAAGGAGAGGGGAGGAGGAGGCAGGGGTGTGTGTAGGGGGGGGGGGAAGACGAACCACACACGATTGAAGCTGCTGCCAGGGCAAGAAGATGTGTGGGGGTGGGGGGGGGAGAGGGGGGAAAAGACGAACCACACGAGCGAGTGAAGCTGCTGCCAAGGAAAGAGTGCTGCGGAAGATGTACAGGAAGCAGAACTGACCAGTCGAGAGAGGGGGAAAGAGGGGGAGTATGAGGGGTTTAAGGGGGGGGGCGTAGAGCATGAGGGAGGGGG